CCTCGTGTGCTTTGCCATAATTAAATACACCAACACACACACCAAAATGTGACTATAATTCAAGTTTAAAATAATACGTTACAATGTGAATATTCTTCTCTGTAGTTAAAATATAATTCAATCTTCTGTACCTTGTTAAGAGAGTTAGGCTGTGATAAGTTCAAATTAGAGTAGTGTTTATAAAGTTCTGCGGTAAATGGTGGAATCATATTAAGAATCCGAGTGAAGTTTTCACATGAAGGAAAAATCAAGGTTTCAGTGTATGTTTGGTGATTTAAGTAGGATATGTGCAAGAAAATACAAGATATTTTGTTAAAAATATTTCAAAGAGTTAGCAAAATTTGTGTTAGTAGTATAAATGAATCTTACTGAATAAAAGGGAGTGTTCTGAATATATATGTATAAATGTCTGTAGAGTAAAATAAGAAGAAATGAAGTACTATTGGTATGTATCTAAATTTAACTGGGTAGAAATGCTCCATGCATTGGTTTGAGTGGGCTTCATACCATGAAAATTTATTGCTCCTTATAAGATTTGTTTAAAGTCAGTAGGTCTTACAATAAAGAAACATGTGTAAGTCTGTATTTATTATGGTGAAAAGGAATCAGCATGAATATGTTTTATAAGTTAAATATAAGGCTAAATGTGTAAATGGAAAGTGTAAAAATTACATTTGGTAGACATAGTTTGGTGAATCCTTTGAATAAAAGTAAGACGTGTAAAAGGGAATCAACAAAGTTTTGTATAGTTGGCCAAAAAGTTAATACAGTCATTTATAGTTTGTACAATGCTTTAGAAGGAAAGGTTCTGAGTATCTCCAACTTAGTAGTAAAAAAGTAAGAAATGTAGTATTCCAGTTAAACTATATAGAATGAACATTGTGTATATTGGTTTAAAGTTACAGAAAATATTATCTAGTGAAGTTATATGCATGTAAATTCCAGCTTAAAATTTCAAAGACGGAGAAATGTAGGTAAGTTTACTTTTGGAGAAATGGAAGTGTAATATGATGTTGTATTTAAAACAAGGGAAAAAATTAAGGGTAAAATAAAAATGTAACAAAAAAAATTTTTAAAGGAAAGGGGAAAATAATAAAATTTACTTTTGAAAGTAAAATGCATAAGGGAAAAAACAAAAAAACTGCATTTGTGTAAACAAAAAACTCAAAAAAAAAAAAAAAAATTAAACTTATGAAACTAAATATTACTTTTGTAAAAAAATAAAGTTAAAATGTAGTAACACCTTTTTTTAAAATAAAAAGCGGAAAGGAAAATTAAATTTGTAAAAATAGATATTACTTTTGTAAAAAAAAAAGGTTTCAACAAAAAAACATTTTAAAGTAAAAAAGTTAAATGTAATAAAAAAAAAAAAAAAATAAAAATAAAAAACAAAAAAATAAAAATAAATATGAAAAAAATTGCAAAATAAAAAGTGAGAAGGAAAAAAATAAATTCGTAAAATAAAATTACATTTGTAAAACCAAAAAAAAGGAAATTAAATATAAAAAAAAATTAAAGTAAAAATACGAAAAGGAATAAATTTTGGAAAAAAAAAAAAAAAAAAAAAAACTAAAAAAGTGAAAAAGAAAAATTCAATTCGTAAATAAAAATATTACTTTTTGTGAAACCAAAAAAAGTTAAACAAAAAATTAAAATAAAGTAAAGTAAAAATACGGAAAGGAAAAAATTTTGGAAAAAAAAAAAAACTTTTGCAAAATAAAAATGTGAAAAGGAAAAATTCAGTTTGTAAAAATAAACTTTGCAAGATAAAAAGTAAAAAGAAAATTTAAATTCACTTTTGTTGGAAGTAAACGTCAATTTGCGAAAGTTCAAAATAAAATTTATGTTTGGGAAAGGGAAAAAAATGAAATAAAAATTAATAAATTATCTAATAACTTAACAGAAAAGTAAGAATGACATGAAAAATGAAAACAATTAAAAATATCTTAATAATAAAAAAATTAAACTGTGGGAAAATCTTTCATTTAAAACAGCAATGAATAAAGTAATGATTAAGAAGCCAAAAGAAATTCTAGCCGTCGTGTAAAAACAAATGTGTGACGCGGTTTTCATGTCAAAGCGCATGCGCCGACTTTCAGCCTTATGTCATCAATGGTGCAAAAAGTCAAAGGGCCAAATAGAGTTTCAAATAATAAGTCTGATAAGAGGACCGGGTAGCCGAGCGGTAAAGTGCTAGACTCCCATCCCAGAGATAACGAGTTCGAATCTCAGCCGTGGAGTTATTTTTAAAATACAGGGAAAATGATACTAAATTCATTAAAAATGGATTAAAATATAATGGAATCAATTAAAACTAATTAAAAATAATGAGGGATTAAAATAATTAAAAAGGATAATTCATAATTAAAAATAATGAATAAAAATGATTAAATAACTAAAATAATAAAGGTAAATAAGGAAAATAATAAAGTTGACGTCACGTGGTTCAAGCGTTCGTTGCCACAAGCATAAAAAATATCTGCCACAAAATATAAAAACTTTGAAAAGGTCGTTGCCACACCATAAAAACGAAACTTTGATGATGTCATTCCGTCTACGTCATTCCTTCGATCTACGTCACTTCCTGTTGTCATGTGATTCAAGATGGCGGCGACCATGCCCCTTTTCTGTGACGTCACTTCCGCCGGCTGAGGACCTCCGCTTACTACTTACATGCGAGTTTTTCTTAATAGATTAACAAAACCAAATCAAAAATTTAATTAACAGTTAAAAATTAAATATTTAAAGTGAAACAGAAAAATAATTGTGATGTATTTTATGTTTCCAATAGTTGTTATTATTTTATACAAATTTGAAATGGATACAAGGCATTAAATGATAATGGTTCGAAACTAATAATCTCTTCCAACAAATCTGTTTAAAATTTTACATATATCTTCGGGGAATTTAATACTGCAAAAATAAGAGAGGTAATAAAGCCTTCCATGAAAATTTTTGAAGATATAAAAATTGCTCGCTTAACAAAGGGATCAAATCCAGGCGAATAGGTTAGCTGCACGAGTGTTTCCGTACTTTTTACCCATGTGTAATGTAAATGCGAGCCAGTTTTCCCTAAAAAGTCCTCATCGAAAGGCTCGCTCACCTCACACAAACAGTCCTAATTAATGCCTATTTCTTTACAAAAAAATGAGAGCAAATATTCTTAAGAAAAAGGGAATGTATTAGCAGAATATGACGAGAAGTGAAAACGAAGATAAATAAATAAGACTGTCAACAATCAACTGAAAAAAGAAATAATTTTGTCGGAAAAATATTTTTACTCAGGAGAAATGAGACATATTTTAATCTTGCAACTGAAATGGAGATATGAAAAATTAAACGAGATAGCTTCTGATTTACAGTTTCATACTGGTGAACGGTGAAAAATAATTGTCTTTGGATTTAAAAGCTCTAAAACGAGAAGCTTTTAACTTAGCACTTAAATATACAAATAGGCCCACCAGCGGCCGAGCGGTAAAAGCCGCTGAACACTGGTAGTTCGTTCCGGGGTTCGAGTCCCGGCGAACGGGCTGGCTGCATGGGCGTTTTCGTGGTTTTCTCCATGTGTAACGTGGATACCAGCCAATTTCCCTTAAAAAGACCTCCACGGGGCATCCCTCCCTTTCCGTGTAGTGCCTAAGGGCGGAGCACGTAATAAATAATAATAAAAAATAAATATACAAATAATTTAAATACTTCAGGTATTCCATTAGCAATATCTAGTCTTAAAATCCGTACTATTTCAATAATTCTGATCGCTAAAGCAAAATCAAAACTTTTAAAGATAATTAAGGACTACAGTTTAATTCAGTCACTTCTAAATTCGGAAATTACGTTAAGACTATTTTCAGCGTTGCCAGTCACTAACGTTAAGGTGAAAAAAGCTTAAAAATACTTAAAAATAATAAAATAATAATAATAGGGGAAAAAATACGAAAATCTTCTCTTGGCCCCCCAAAATTTCAAATATCACCTGCATAGAACGTAAATTATGTAATCAAGTAAATTTTGAAATAAAAAGCTTTGTCCATTTTATTTCATTAAAAGCAAGAAAAATTAAATTACAAAAAAAAAAAAAAAAAAAAAAAAAAAAAAAAAAAAAGACTTGAATATTAATGTAAAACCTTTTTTATATTAATTGTTGTACACTGTTCATATTACTTGAGTGTAATTTTCTATTTATATCAAAAGATATTTTTGAACGTTTTCGCTTAAAAATTGTAAATTATCACATGTATTAATTTTCTGAATGGATAAATTTATTTCAAAACATTCTAAGAGTTATGGTACGATTTTGCATAATTACCTTTGTTGAACATAGATGTATACAGATGCAATTAATTTTAGTGTATACAGGGGCGCGCATTTACCTCTTTGCCTCAGGTGAAAAAATAAGTAGGGATGGCTCTGGCTTCATCAAGTCTACAATTTTTGTTTAAAATTCTAAGAATATTTTCATAAAAATTTTAAAATTAAGAAGATGATTAAATGATTCTTGAAAGGATAAGGATAAAGGATTTCTTGGATAGGAATAGACAATTAAAAAAAAATCGCTCAAGGCAGAGACCATAAACTTTTTCGTATATTTATTTAATAATAAGAAGTTCAGTGAAATTAATATTTAATTATGTAGATTTCCAAAATCTGCATCAGAGAACGTTGGTTCTTTTAGTTCGGAAGGAGAACAGTTTTGTTTCCTTTGTCAGTGAGACAGTTTGCTCGGTGTTTCCGGTAGAAAAAACATTAGACGATGTCCTTTGCACCAAGTACCCATTATTACAACTGACACCTAAGTCCTATGTGTTATAGTTACGAGAACCCTTTTATAGCAATTGTTGCACAGAATGAAAAAATGCGCCATCGGAAGAAATTATGGCTCTGATTTCTAAGATTTGACCGAAGACTTCTCGGCCGTTCAACCTGAAACTCATCGACTCGCCTCAAGCCATGCCGGAATCGAAACCAGTTTTTGCGATGAAGGAGAGGAAGTCAAGCGTATTCCCTCTCCTGCCGAACACGAGGGTTCACAGATGTCTGCAATGAGCACCGGAGAAAACGTTATTGATAATCCTTTTAAAGAGATACGCAGGATATCGTGATGTGCAGCGAAATCCAGTTATATAAATATCGTGGAAAGTGCGCCCAAAATCATGAATAATATAACTAAAAGACCATTAGTCATTAGTATCTCCATCATACTGTATTATTTTAGGATTATTTTGGCTGAAAACACACTAGAAGGTAAGTGTTCACTTGTTTATTTACTTTTATATACGAACGCGATATAGCACTAGCACTATATTGTAGTGATGGCATACTCAGTTCAGGTAGAAAAGATTGTATAAGATGAATTTCTGAATTAATTATTTCTGTAATTTGATTTTCTTAGTAAATTTAATGAACTTTCTTACTACATTTTCATTCTTCCGAATGATGCATGAGCATATGTTTAAATTATTCCATATAGAATGAAAGTGAAATCATAGTTTTTCATGGTGGAACGTCAAACCGCCTAAAAATATGGAAAGCACCGTTTCATGCAGATTTATTCAGTGTTTTTCTGATGTCTAATTAAATGAAAAATGACAGAGTTTTGCACTTCCGTTCCCTCCCTTTTTTTTAACTGAACTGAAAATTTTATGACTACTCAAGAAGCTTGAATGAGTAGAATCCTACACATGCTAGGTATAGTTAAACGTGTAGGATATTGTGACAAGCGGCGGAAAGATAGTGATTATTTTTTCTTTATATTTAGTGACGGGATAGGAAAATCCTAGGAAAGAAATGAAATAATCCTCTTTTATTATTAAAATAAACACATTTTATGGAAATCAAATATCTTTGAAAATTCCAGCACTGCATTTCTTTTGACAGTCATATCCTGATTAGTTATAGAGTTTAGAGAATAATTTTTGAAATGAGATACATTTTATTACGAAGAAATTTCTTAGCATACAAATGTGTCCGGATACAGATTCAGAAGTTTAGATATTTTTGTTTTGGGTTAAGTATGTGTAATAATGATAATACAAACAAGTATTGTATTTTTATTGCATTTTACATTTTAATTCTTATCAGGCATATTTTATTTATGAAAATTTCATTCATTAAATATTTTGTCAATTACTTACCAAGAAACAGAACAGTAAACTGCAGTGCTGTCACTAAGCTTTTTGCCGCCCGGAGCGACCGCACGAGCTGCATCGGCTCTGGAGCCGGCCCTATCTTTAATCTAGTTTTATGCTCCAGAGATATGTATAAATACCTTATAGATATAATTCTGTACACAGGCAAACGCTCAAGTAAAGGTATATGCGCTCTAAAATTTCATTTCAGAAACTTAGAATGGAAGAGTTAACCTTTTTACATTACTTTATTCTCATTTTAAACATGATCTCAGAAACTCAGAAATAACATAAAACCGCAAGAAGAATAAGACTTTTCTCACCCCTAAAATTCAAATAAGTGGAGAATTTGTGCTTCCACAACAAAAATAAAGAATTCTACAGCATGAGGTAACTAATCATGTCTTAAGTGTTGCAACGTTGGGAATATCATCCAAAAATGTTGACATTATATCCTGAATTTTTTTATCTCATAAAATACTGAGCAATGCAAAGAAATATCTCAAGAAGTATTTTAAAACTTTGTATGTGTTTGTTTTAAAATTAATCTGACAAAGAAATTAATCTTCAGACTGTTACCACACTGCCGTAAAAAATATTTTTATACTGCACGCTTAATGTATATGAATTAACAGAGAAAAGTCTTGACTTATTTTTGAAAAGTATGAATAAACAGATTTAAGGATTTCACTAAAAGAAATTTAGAGCTTGTTTCTCTAAGCGAATTAAATTTACAAATATTTTCTGGTATTAACTCACAAAAGCTAATCTAAGGGATTTAATTTGATCTAATCGGTCCAACAGAACAAATTTGTATTTTCAAGCGTAACTAAATAAATTAATCAATGTTGTCATTTACAGTTATGTATAAATTCTACTTATCTAAATCATGTTCAGTTACATAGATTGAATAGACGTTCTTTCGAATCATTCAAAGAAGTAGTTAATTATGAGAGAATATGAGTGATTAAAAAAATGGAATTAAAAAAAATTAATGGCTCCCTAACATAAAAAAGGCTCCAAGCAAAATGGTAACTAAAGAATCTTGAACTTGAGAAATAGTTCTTTAAAGACAGTCTTAGATTTTTTTCAATTCTTATCTTAAGTTCTTTTCAATGCAACTGAAATTCTTGTGTTCAACCTACATATTTTACATGTTTCAGAATATGTATATGAAGAAGACAAATGATTACGATATATAATATTGGAAAATTTATCTTAACTCATTTAAATATGATACAGTAACGTTATTGTACATAAAATGCCTTTAAGAAGATTTACAGTCGTGTGCAAAAGTTTAAGACCACACATGGAAAAATCAGATTTATTGGAATTCTGCAACAAAAACATATGTTATAAGTTAAAAAATAGACTTACAAGGTTATTGAAGTATAGTCAGTATTTTGTCGAACCTCCTTTATTTTTTATCACTGCTGCAATCCTCTTAGGCATGCTATAAACAAGACATTGGCAGTAAGCTTGAGAAATCTCTGTACACCACACATGCTTTATTGCTTCAACAAGCTCTGTAGCACTGGGTGGTAGCTTCTCCACGACTTTAGTTTTCACACTACACCACAGATTCTCTATGGGATTCAAATCAAGCACTTGGATTTGAGTAGCCCTCAGATAGTCCTTAACATTCATTGCCTTGTGACACGGAGCCCCATCATGCATGAAAATTGAACATCTGTGAACATCCAAGTGAAGCTTCAACTTGTCACGTAACAAATCAAGGTACCGACTGCCGTTCATCGTGGTTTTAGGTGGCAGGAAATATACAGCAGCAGTACCAGACGCAGACATTGCAGCCCATATCATCTATCTTGGAGGGTGTTTCACAGTCGGAATTGTATATCTGTCATCATATCGTTTTCCAAATGGGCGGCGAATACATTTAGCACATGCAGAAAATTGCTGCACACTTGACTTATCGGAAAATAGCACTGTACTCCACTGTTGTTCTGATATCGTCTGGCGACAGTCCTTCTTTTTTCATACTTTGAGTAAGTCGAGGTTTCCTTGCAGGTTTATAGGAAAATAAACCATAATCTTTAGTCAAATGTCTTGAAATAGTACTCGAACTGACGTTGGTACCTTTTGCAGGCAGAGCAGCTCTAATTTTATTGCAGGAGGTTGTTGCACATTGAGTGATCATCCTTCTTATCACACGATCATCACGTACACAAGTTTTCTTGGACGACCACTTCTCTTAAGATCCGTATAATTTCCCGAAATTTTGAATTTACTGATAGATTGATGCATGCCTGTCTTGATGACATTTACCTTCAAATTTATTTCACGTTCAGAAAAGCCAACTTCATACAGAGACGCTATTTTTGTCCGGTTTTCAACAGTAAGTGAAGGTTTTTTACCGTTACAAGAATTATATAACAGCACTGTGTACGCAAAATCCAATAACGAACTACTGATAAACGAGACCACGTTATATTTATAAGAATAGAAAGCGTTTGATGCAATCAACGCATGAGCTAACGCAATCACGAGCGAAAATGGTGCACGTTGTTAAAATACAGGAAAACGGCTACTGGTCTTAAACGTTTGCACGTGACTGCAGTTCACTATTTCGTGGAATAATGTACTTGCAAATTCAAAAGTTATACATTTAATTTAGTACGTTATCAATTATTAACTTTTATAAAGAGCTGCCAGATTGCTGATAATATTTTACATCTAGATATTTCTTGAATTGTTTGTAGCTTCAGCAAAACAAAAAACTAGCCTCTTTACTTTACCAGGTATTTCTCCCACTTTTTTAGCGTCCTTCGTGGTGTAGTGGTTCTGCACTCTGGGCCGGTATTCCAGAGGTCTGCCTCTAAAAAATATCCTAATGACTCTACAAGTGTCCCTGTTCGGGCGCCACTTGTAGAGTCATTAGGATTTTTTTTAGAGGCAGAAAAGATGAAAAATAGCAAACGCCTTCGCCGGGAATCGAACCACGGACCTCTGGAATACCGGCCCAGCATGCAGAACCACTACACCACGAAGGACGCTAGGAAAGTGAAAGAAATACCTTATACTTTTTTTTTTCTAATTAGCTTAAGTTCGCGTACGTCTTCTCTGTTTATTGCAGCATGATATACTGAAGCATCAGGAGTGTTAGTTATATCAGCCTAATAATTCTGCTGTCCTTCATGAAAGAATAGCTGAAGAAACATTGAAAAATTGATTCTAAGAGTATGAGGGAACATTCTATAGATAATGAAAACCATATTTCCTGCACATCGGCCCGCATATTTCTTGAATTCGGAAGTCTAGAATTAGTATGTTTCACAGCACCACGACAGATGACCACGACAGGACTTAAAGCTTAGATGAATTCTCTTCTAACTGCAATTTAGCGTCTCTATATTGATGTGGCTGCCCATTGCGGTATTAGAAGAGGCTAAATCCCTTAGAATGAACGGAGATGATGAACATACATAAATGTAACTCGTTAGAATGGACATGCTCATAACATTTACCTGTCAGTGAGGTCTGTATATATTATTAATGAATTCACTTAAACATCCTGTATAATTTCCTATTGTTATATAAGACTCATGGATTCATGCAGTTTTTCCCACACACCGATCATTCCATTTACTCAAAACAGCTGAAAATGTAAGCCGGGTTAATTAGGTGACTAATTTCCAGGCATGACGTGCCTACTGTCAGATTGCCTAGCTCAGGCAAGTTTGTATGAATCTGAAGCGTGTATTTTTCTAATGCACTCTGGACAGATGTCGGCTCCTAAAAATTATATAAGGAATGGAAAGTTTGGGCAGTTCTGACGCTGATTTCTGTTGAACTTTCTTCCAAAATAAACTTCAGCCTTTTTCTCCAAAATGTTATGGTCCATTTCACCACAGCCCACCAGCGGCCGAGCGGTAAAGTCGCTGAACACTGGTAGTTCGGTCCGAGGTTCGAATCCCGCGAACGGGCTGGCTGCATGGGCGTTTTCGTGGTTTTCCCCATGTGTAACGTGTATACGAGCCAGTTTCCCTTAGAAAGTCCTCCACGAAAGGCATCCCTCCCCTTGGGCAGATAGCCCTCGTGTGCTTTGCCGTAATTAAATACACCACACCATTTCACCACACTAACTGTTAGACCACA